AAGCTGTCCTTCTCAAATGCCTTCTCTCCCCTTCCTTAATTCTAGCTCCTCTATTTCTGGGTTGTGCACATAGTAAACAGGGTCATAGAGAAAAAGCATGTCTCATCTGATGATTTTTTTAAAAGAATAAATACTCTAAAAAAAAAAAAGAAAAGAATGGATACTCTGACAGGAGTGGAGAAGAAAGAGGCCAATATATAAAATTAAATATTAAAATAGAGAAATAGCCACTGATACAGAAAAAATAGAATTTTTAGAGGATGCTCTGTTTGACCATATGCAAATTGAGGTGAAAACCAGCTAAGTCTGATAATTTTCTGGGAAAACCTAAATCATCAGTTGGACCCCAGAAGAACTGGAAAAGCACAAGAGACCAATAATCACGGAAGAAACTGAGTTTTCATACAATTCTTATCAAAAAACATTTTAACAATCCAGGTTTAGACAGCTTGTAGGAACCGATAATTTAAATGTTATTTAAAATGCACCACTAGGGCAGTGCCTATGGCTCAGTGGGTAGGGCGCCGGCCAAACTGCAATAAAATGCACCACTATGCCAGATCACAGAGAAGAAAATATTCCAAATTATTCTAGGAAACCAGCACAACATGATACCAAAGCTTGACAAAGAGGGCACAATAAAGAGAACATTACTAAAACATCTTATGTATGAATATTGGCACACAATTCATAAATTAAATAGCAATAAATAAGATCACCCAGCATTATATAAAAAAATGAATATACCACAAGCCAGTGGGGCCATATGAAAAAAAATACAGATTCAACACTAGAAAAACTATTAATGTAAACGAACAAACTAATAGTCCAAAAGAAATAAAAAAAATCCTATAAGTAACTCCATAAGGCCTAAAAATCCTAAAATACATTTGATAAAATTCTACTTGTGTCCCTGATTTTGACTCTTTTTAAATTAGGAATAGATGGATAATGCTTAGTATGATCACGTGTGTGAGTATAACGACATAAACTCATACAAGGAAAGAACGATCACCATGACCCTAATTCTTTACCACTATTCTAGAAGCAGAAGCCAATAACCATTTTGAAAATCTAAACGAGGCAAACTCATCAAAATTGTAGATGATAAGATTGACTGCCTAGAGGAAAAAGAACAGGACTGTCAACTGAAACAACTACTAGACATAATAAAAGAATGAACTAAGATGACTGGTAATAAATATTAGAAATAAAAATGTATGCCTTCTCCCTATGTAAACATAAGCCTCTTTTAAGGGGCACAGCTCTCGTTACTGTTCTTCACTCCTGGCTCCAGTACTTGGAACAGGGCCTGAAAGACATTTGCCAAATGATGTTACAGATCAAAGCACATTTAATATGCAGTATTAATGACAGTGATTGCCAGCATGTAGTAGTTCCCAGGTGTGGGCACTGTCCTACACCCTTTACCTGTGGCCTAACGTGTGGTCTACCTGGAGAATGTTCCATGTGCTCTTGAGAAAAACATATACTCCGCTGCTGTTTGGTGGAGTGTTTTGCATATGTGTGTTAGGTCCGCTTGCTCTACCAAGTTGTTCAATCCTGTTTCCTTATTGACCTTCTGTCTGGCTGGTCTATCCATTATTGAAAGTGGAGTATTAGAATCTCTTACAATTATTGTGTTGCTGTCAATTTCTCCTTTCTGTTCTGTCAATATTTGTTTCACATATTTGGGTGCTCAGCTAGTATACAGAGGGTGCCAAAAATATATATACACATTTTAAGAAGGGAAAAAGCTGTATTAAAACTATAATACTCAGCTCAGCACCTGTGGCTCAAGTGGCTAAGGTGCCAGCCACATACACCTAAGGTGGTGGGTTTGAATCCAGCCTGGGCCCGCCAAACAACAATGACAGCTGCAACAAAAATAATAGCTGGGTGTTGTGGTAGGTGCCTGTGGTCCTAGCTACTTGGGAGGTGGAGGCAGGAGACTTGCTTGAGCCCAGGAGCTGGAGGTTGCTGTGAGCTGTGATGCCACAGCACTCTACCCAGGGTGATAGCTTGAGGCTCTGTCTCAAAAAAAAACCCTATAATATTCAAGTCAGGTTTGACTTCTACAATTACAAGGGATATAATATACAAGATAACAAATGTTATCAGTGTATTTTGAGTGTTACAATTTTAATACAGCCTTTTCCTTTCTTAAAATGTATATACATTATTTTGGCACCCTCTGTATATTTTTGATTGTTATGTCTTCCTGGCAGATTGGCCCTTCCTCATTACATAATGTCCTCCTTTATCTCTTCTGGCATTTTTTTACTTACACAAATATAGCTGTCCCAGCTCTCTTGTGGTTACCATTTGCATGGAATATGTTTTTTCATTCTTTCACTTTGAACCTGCAGGTGCCTTAAAATCTAAGGTGCACTTTTTTTTTGTTTGTTTGAGAGAGTCTCACTTTGTTACCTTTGGTAGAGTGCCGTGGTATCATAGCTCACAGCAACCTCAAACTCTTGGGCTTACATGATCCTCTTGCCTCAGCCTCCCCAGTAGCTGGAACTACAGGCGCCCACTGCAATGCCCCGCTTCTTTTTAGAGACTGGGTCTCTCTCTTGCTCAGGCTGGTCTCAAACTCCAGAGCTCAGGTGGTCTACCCACCTCAGCCTCCCAGAGTGCTGGGATTACAGGCCTGAGCCACCAGGCCCGGCCTAAGGTGTGCATCTTATGTGCAGCAGATGGGTGCATGTTTCTACACCCCTTTCCTGTAATAACTCTTTTAATCTTCATAATAACTCTATGCAGATGGGGTTCTCGTTGTTCCCATTTGTAGGTGAGGACACTGAGGCAGAGGAAGGGTAGGTAACTTATCCTTGGATCTGGAATTTGGACTGTGACTCTGAGTCTGTTGTGTTCTTTGTATCCATCCTACTGCATAGTTAAATTGAGATTTTGATTTTAGAGGGAGGTGGTTGGGGAAGGGAGCCAGACATGGATTATTCAAACATGACTTTAGGACAACTGTCTGGCCCCTTGAGGAAAAAAAAAATTCGGGTCCTACCACAATCATTACACCAAAATAAATTCTAGCTGCAGCAAAGATATTTAGAAAAGAAGAAAACACTTAACAATGCAAATGGAAAATATGGGCAAATATTTTTATGATCCTCAAATGGGAACAGCTTTTCACACAAGTCCAAAAATACGGAAACCATATAGAAGACTGATAGTTTCAACCGAAGAAAAATCTGAAATTTCTGTAAGCAAAATATGCCATAAATAAAGTAAAGAAGAGCTGAATGACTATTGGCAATACACATGACAAAAAGTTACTTGCCTCAATTTAGAAAAACTTCTTAAAAATCAGTAAGACAAACTAAAAAGGGCACAGTTCACAGAAAAAATAAACACAAAGGTCAATTGACCAATAAACATGAAAATAATGTATGTCTGTGCTTGCTGACAATTAGAAAATTACAAACGCAAAGAAGATATCATTTTTCAATTCATTGGCAAAGTTTAAAAATCTGACAATGCATATGGTATTATGGGTGGAGAGAAACAGGCACCCCGTGCATTGCTGGGGTGATGAAAACCAGTTCACCCTCAGTGGAGAACAATTTGGCCATATCTGTCAGAATTTTAGCCCCACATCACCGTCAACCTAGGGATTTATCCTATAGCTGACCTCATGTATATGCACAAAAACCTATAATCAGAGATGTTCATTACAGCTTTGTTTGTGCAGCAAAAATGTGGAAACAACCTAAATATCTGTCAACAAGGACAGATTTATATAAATTATAGTGCACTGGTTCAGCAGAACACTGAGCTGTTGAAAGAATAGCAGGAACCGTCTGGGCAGATATATAGAGCATGGAAGTGTACTAACAAAACCGAGACAAGTATGGGACTATGTTTCTGGTTGGGTTATTTTAAACCCATATTTTTGGAAAAATTCTTATAGAAAACCTAAACAGGAAACTTGACCTTGTTTATGTTTAGGAGTGGGGCAGTGGGCATACATACCGGATTTCATTTTCACTGTCTATTATTTTGAATGGCTTGAATTTTTTTCTAGAATCATGTTATTTCCAGAATGTAAAAAGAACATTTAAGAAGAAGCCAATTATATAGTATAAGAGGCCTTACCCTGGACTTTCATTTTAAATTCATTTCTCAGAGGATTCGCTTCTTGCATTCACAATTTTAAATGTGGCCGGGTCTGAGAGATCATCTCCAATCTTCTTTTTGCTCATGACGAAAATGAAACATAGAAAGGTTTTGCCAAGTTTTAGCTGCAGGGCTCCCCAGCTGTTCTGTCCTGCAGAGACTGGGCTCCCATGATGGCTACTTTCAGGAAAGGGACCGCGAACCCTTTGTGCATATTATAAAATTTTTATCCTTGGACTTGTCTGCCCTTTCCCAGCATGTAGTCCCTTCTTTCATGTACATGGATGTAGGGAACTTGTTTAAAATGCAGGTTCCCAGGTACCTTTCTGGAGATTCAGATTCAGTGGGTCAAGGTAGGGCCCTGAAACCTGCATTTTAGCAAGTTTAGGAAATGGCTACGGCCACCTCTGACCCTTCTTAGCTCAGCCCTGCTGGCATTGTCCTGCATCGGGACTGAAGCCCCCCACACTAGCAAGAGGAAGGGGGGAGCTCAAGCTCAAGAGAGGGCAAGTGACAGAGCCAGGGCTTAGACTAGCTTGGGAGTCCAGTGCAGTGCTCTGCCCATACCCGCTGCCCCAGGCCCTGCTCAGCAGAGATGAATGGTAGCTCTCCAGTTCACCCACCCCAGGGAAGGGTACTGACTGGCCTGCATTTGGAGGTGGGGGCAGGCTGGGGGTCGTGAGTGCATCTGGAGTAGCCCTTGCCCCTCAGAGCCCGAGGCAGACCTTGCTGAAGATGCTGACAAGCGTGTTGGACCTGGGAGGGGCCTGGCCTGCTTGGGCTTGGGGAGGAGCCACAAGGAGGCCAGGAAGGACTGGCATCCACATCCGCCAGCACTGAAACATTCTGTTGTCCCTGTGCCATAGAGCCGTGGTGGAGCCACCCTCGTGGTCAGAAACTGAGCTGGGACATAGCTGGACACCCAGAAGCAACTTTTCCTGGGGACTGATCAAGAGGAAGGGAGGCTCAGAAACAGCCCTGAGGCTCTTTGGGGCTTAAGCCCTAAACCACACCTGCTGTTCCAGGTAGGCCCCCTGCCGTCATCCCCCTCCCCACAGGCATTAGGCCCTAGTGCCATCTCCTGCCTCAAGCCTGGGAAACAAGAGCACACCAGCTGCTCCAGGGCTGTGGCTCTCCAGCCAGCCCTCCAGCAATGGCCCCACTTAATCCCTTCTAAACCCTCAACCCGCAAGGAAGGAGCAGGCACAGCCTAGCCCCTTTCTCTAAAGGGACACTGTTCAGCTGACCCTGCTCCTGAGACTTGGGAAGCGGGTAGAAGACCATCTGGCTTTGGTTAGGATGCCCTCTGCCCCTCGTAAACCCCCCCAGACTGAGCTTCTAGCTAGGGGTCCCTAGAGTGGTTCTTGCCTAGCTGACCCTGGTTTGGGGGAGGCCCAGAACCTGCCAGACAGGGCTCTTCTGAGAGTTCCTTAACTCTTGACACTTTTTCCTCATGAAAGGATTAAGATGGATGGTGTCTTCATAGCCTGTCAGAGCCAAGGTCTCTGAGTGGTGTGATCCAACCACAACCTCCTTCTACTTCTCAAATATTCCTTATATCAATAGTGTAGTTTCTGGTGCTGTGTTCGAATAAGGCATAATCTTGTTAAAATAGCACTGGCAGCCCTTTGGCGTCACATAGCCCTTCCTGGGTTCAGCTGCCTCTTCCCTGTCCCTCAGCCCTGCCTCTACATCCCTGGCTGGCCCCTTTCCCTTTGGTTAGCTCTAGCTGATCATCCCCCCCTGCAAAAGGGTCATTGGCCGTGATGGGACAGCCAAAGCCAGGTCAGCCTCTCTGCGAGGCCTTCATCCCTATTTAAGAAAGGGAATAAGTTAAGAAATAAATAAATCTTTGAGAAATGATTAGATAGTCCAGAGAAAGCTCCTACTGAGATAAGATTTCTCTATCTGAGAATGTCTAAAATCCCTCTTACATGAAAGAAGAACTTACTCTGTGTGGGCGGCTGACCAAGAGCACGGCAGTTGCTGCTATTACCCACAGAAGTAATCTTGGCTGTAGTTGTTTTCTGTGCAGGGCAGATTGCTTGATGTTCATATCGCTCTTACGGTTTCCTGGTCTTTTCCCAGGAGAGCCCTCCAGGGCAAGGAGCTCAGCCACCAGCCGTATCTCATTCTGTCCCCTCGGCCATGCCCAGTGCCCCAGCCCTGTGCCAGGCCCTCCCTCTATTCTAGACTCCTGTGAGAGGCAGCACTGCAGAGGTTAAGAGCTCAGGCTCTGGAGCCAGACGGGTTCATGTCCCAGCTCTACCCGGTGCTAGCATTGTCACTTGTCATCTCTGTGCACTTTAGTCTCTTCGTCTATAAAAGGGGGACAACAACAGTACCCTCACCATGAAGATGAAATAAGTTAATATCTGTAAAGTGCTTGAGAGAACTCCTAGCACCCAGTAAGCACTTAGCATGCTAGCTCTGGTCATTAGGAATGTCTGTTCCCTCCCTCCCATCCCCTGCTGACTGCCTGACCTCCCTGAAGCACAGTGCAGTCAGCTCACTCCCCTGCTCCACAACCAGCCATGGCCCCCACTGCCTATTTAATGACTATGCTCTAACTTGCCCTTGAAAGGTCTTCAAGGCAGACACAATATATTGTTTACCTTGCACATAATAAAAGATAAGGAGTGTTGGGTGAGAGAAAGGGCTTCTACCCTCAAGGAAGGTGAACTAAGTTCCTGAGGAATGAAAGTGCAGCCACCTACAGCCCCACACCTGGGGGTTTAGTCCAGGCTCTTCTGCCTCCTTGACCATAGCCAGGTGAGCAGACTTGGATACAGAGCACTGGATCTGCTCACAGGGGTAGGTGCAGTTTCCCTTGGATCCACTGGGTCTGCAAATGTTGTGAGCCCTATTTTGGACTCTAGCCCTGATATACGTCAGAGTGAAGAGAGGACACCTGGCCATTGCCCAGAATGGGCAGTGACCACAGTTATAGCCTGTACTTTCTGATGAGGTCAGGCCAGGTGGCAGACATGATGTCATTGTCCTTATTCATCCCAGGGAGGTGGGGCACAAAACCTCCCATAGCTCAGGTGGGAAGCCTGAGGCCCGCAGAGAGTGCCTGTGGTCTGGTGCATTGGACAGAGAACTCAGCCAGCTTTACATCCTGCATCTCAGCTGCTGCTCTGGCAAAAGAGAGGAATGAGCTCTGGGATGAAGGAGAACAGAACAGAATTTATAAACCAGACTCCTCATCTGGAATGGAGACCTTGGCTATGTCAATGAACTTCTCCATTTTTCCATCTAAGGAATGAGAAGGATAATAACCCACTTCACAGGCCAAAATGAAACAAAATGCCCAGACCCACTGCACATGTGGGTGCAGTTACTCTGATCACATCAAGAAAGAGCTGCCTCAGTCCTGCAAACTTTTCTCCTCTCTTAAGTGAAAATTTCCTCGCCTGGCCTCCCCTCCAAGATTAAAGAACATAGTAGTGATTTTTGGCTGGAGAAGAAAGGAGCAACAGCTCAAACCTTCCCAGACTCCTGGTGAGGGTGAGAAGTGCGGGAGGGAAGCCACACAGCTCTGTCTGGCTCTCTGAGTGAGATTTTTCCTCTCCGAGACTTGAGACTTGGATGCTGCTGAGCCAGGAAGCCAGGAGTGAAGTGACAGGGAGGCAGCAGACGAGACCATGCTGGTCCCTACAGGGTGATATTTTTTATTTTTTCATCGAACAAATGAATGAATTTGCTGGCATTGCAGGCACTGTGCTGGGAAGTAGCAAGTGGAACAGACATGGACCCTGCCCTTGTGGGGACAGAGGATAAACCACATGAACTATGGATGCAGTGTGTTAGAAAGAGATAAATGCAAAAAACCAAACCAAAACAAAAAAACAGAGAAGTGTAGGGAAATCGGGAAATCAGAGGAGCTGGGTTGCTAAATAAGGTCATCAGGAAACATCTTACTGAAAAGGTCACATTTGAGATACACAAATTGTTTGCTCCCCTGGGGATTCCTAAGAAGCCTGGAGGTTCAGAATCAGGGCCAGGTGCCTTTCCTGAGATCCTAGGATTGGAGCCAAATCTAGAACTCTTCTAGTCCCAGCCCAGTTAATCACATGCCCTCCCTCTGAAACCTTCAGTAGTTGCCTTGTTCATGGCTAAGTGAAAACCATTCATGATCTGGTCCCAATTTGCCTGTTATCTCATCAGACCCTTCTCACCCCACCTGTGCAGCCATGCCAGTCTGCTTACCATTTCTGGAATATTCCACTTTCTGCTTCCCTGTTCCACTCATTTGTCCCCTCTGCCTGTCCCCACTAGTTTCTGTCAGCCTGAAACTTCACCCACCTTCCCTACGCTGCCACTCTGAAGCCTTCCCTGACCTTCGCAAGGGCTGTGTTCCTTGGCTTGTACCTTTCTCATCACGTGGCCCTTGCTTTGCCTTGGGTTTAGGCTCTGGCTTACTTGTCTGATCTCTCCAGCAGGCTAGCAGTGCCCTAGCCAACATCTGGGCACCTTCAGCTGCAGCAGGTGTAGGACTCCGCAGACATTGGCTGAATTGTGTCCAAGTTCAAAGGACCCCAGTGACACTGGGACAAGCCAGGGGAGGCTTTGGCCCATTCAGACAATGAAAGCAGAAGTGGAACATGAACAGGACAAGAGAGAAGAAACTAAAATGTGAGGGAGAGAGGACAGAGGAGCATAAAGGAAGAGGAGTCCCCGCCATACTTTTTCCATACAGGCATGCTGTCACACACAGAGGAAAGTTCTCTCTTCCGCCCCAGAAATTAGAATTAGAATTAGAAAACTAACTCCCTTCAACATCTCAGGCCAATACATCTATGTGTATAACTAGAATATCCCTTGCTGCAATTCATTTTCTGTGATTGCTATTCAAGTCCTTATTCCCCCTAGTGACTTTTCTAACCCCCCCACCCCCACCCAGGGTAGGAACGAGGTCAGGAGGTGGCTTCCACTGGCCTGGGCTCTTGTGCTCTACTTAAGAAGGCCAGCAACCCCCAGAGCCACACAGAGGATTGTCCAGGGCTAAAATGCAGGGCCCTTATGCAACCCCCATAAGCCATGGAGGTTGTGTCAACCATCGCCCCTCAGCCCCTTAGTTCAGCTTCCCCTTGAGGCTAACTTCATCCCAAACAAATCAGTGAACAGAAAATACCCAGTGAACAGAACAGTGATTCTCAAACGCCTCATGTTCCAGCTCTCTGTGCTTATCCAGGCCCTGGGAGGCCATGTCAGCCAGGCCCCAAGTCCTGGCCATCTGGCTCCCACCCATCGCTAGAGCAGCTGTGCTCAGCCCACGAGGCCGCCAGTGTGGCTCCTGCCCTATTTCAACAGATGGAGCCACCCTGCAACCTGGCCTCCCTCCATCTCTGCTGCCCCTGAGGGGTGGTGCATGTCCTTCTGGGAGACTCAGACTCCCCCACGGAAAGCCTGAGCATACGGTCTGGGCCCAC